GGCCGAGTGGATAGCTATCGACTTGACCTTTCCAGGCTCTGAGGAAGGCGAAATCCGCCGAAACGTCAGCTTATTCGTGAATAAAGAATAATAACACCTCGCGTTTGCTCAACAAAAATACGAAGAGTTACTTAAACTCACGTATTCATCGATTTTGTACCCTTTATGTTTCTTCTTCTATTCTTCGCCGCCGTTACAGTTCTTTTGTCACCATTCTTCCTACTTCCCGGGCCTTTTCTTTGTCCGAAGTTCACCAGTTCCTTAGAGATTGACGTGTCGAGCGGTTCGTACTGTAACATTTCAGTACTTAAATTGCGAATGTCAAGCCTAATAAGACTTGCATGAACTCACTCTTGCGTGCTTCGTAGTCTTAGACGCATGTGCTCGTTCGAGCTTCTGTCGCGAGTATGGAATCTGAATCATCACCCGCTCGAGATACTGCTGAAAGTTGTTGCAAGGAATGGAACTCTGACTTCTCCACTATCAAAAAAAAAAAATCAGAATTGTAACCGATCAAGAAGCTAAGCCATTTTACATCGTTATAGTGTTAATTATAGGTTGCGATTAAATTATCAAAATTTATATCTTAAAATAGGAATATCACAGTAGTGATTAAGGCGAAACCATCTTAGGAGTTTACTTTGAAGAAAAAATAGAAGTCAAAGAAATGGAAATGTGAGGAAACTGCACAACGAAACCCCAGGTCGCGGCCATAGCATAAAAATTCGCTTTAGAAATTCTAGAGAGTAACTATAGTCATTTGTGGTACTCTCACATTTGTAGCAGAATTTCGTTCTCTTTTATAAAGTTGTTGTGAGAAAAGAAGAAGTAGCCGATCGCGACGGAGCTCCTGAAGTTCGTGAAGCGTTTTTCACTTTTGGAAGGCGTACTGCTTCCACTTGTCTTAAGAGATTTCATCGCTTTTGTGTAGAGAGTTGTAAGCAAACGCAATATAGACTCATACAGACCGAAAATCCGTTATTAGCAGTTTGAAGGAGAGATCTTTAAGTTATTTTAGAAAATTTTAAATTATTCGACCACTCAAGAAATTGGATAATTTGGCCTAACGAAACTCAATACTGAATGACCGCAGCTCGATCATCAAACTTGGACGAAATTTTTTAACTTACCGCCTACTACAATTTTCACGGCAGGGTATTATGCAAAATCCGCCACAATGATGCTAAGATATTCGCAAAACACGGACCGCGGCCAGATCGAACTACGATTTCCCCTTCCGGGACTCGCGCATTATACACTACGCAAAGGACGCCATTGCTCTGCGTTTCTGTCAGCTAGTTTTCTATCTACCAGTGCCATCAGCAATTACCCTTCAACGGGATTGATCTGGTACGCCTATCAAGTCCGTGGCACAGTGCGTAATGCGCGAGCTCCCGGAAGGGGAAATCGTAGTTCAATCTGGCCGGGGGTCCAAGTTTTGCGAAAACCTCAGCTTCGTTGTGTTTGGATGAAATTGTTTCTAGTTATTCAAATATAAAGTCAGTAGCGAATGCTGTCATACGACCATCTGATCCTCAGTTAATCTGGCTGCTATTCTACTACGAGGCTTCATCAAAAGAATAAATGTCGGCACCAGTCTTGATGAATACAACGTCTGAAATCCAAATCGCCCTTGACATCGCACCATTTGCATGCATTTTTTTTCAAGCAGCAGCAGAAAGACAAAAAAAAAATCCAGACTGTTAACCCAGACTTCTTCATGTTGTGTCCAAAATCTCTGTGTCGAAAAGTCAGCATAGACTTCATCTATTGTTTCCTTTCTCAACCATGATTAGTGTCAAAACTACAAACTTTGTAAGGCTAGAGTGCTTACTGTTATTTTGGCTATAGATATTGTGTGTAGCATTGTTTGGGAAATCTAGGAGCAACAGCAACAGCAACAACATTTGAGCTGCAACATTGATCGGAACTTGCCGTTTTCACTGTCTTCTGTGGCATTCTTCGGATAGACTCATGATGTTCGCGTGGCACAATCTCGATAGCTTGCACATCATCAACAAAGTGTCGTTTTTTGTTCAACAACTTCTTTAGTTTTTTAGCTCTTCGGAATTTTCGATTATGATGCGACATTTGCGACTCCACAACCTGAATAGGGAGCTGTGATTACTACTGAGTCACTTATTCTCTGCGGTAATTACCGTCTCTTCAAGGACGCTTAAGCTCTCCAGGGTGTAAAAAGTGAGAATAAGAAGAGTTAGGTAGTACAGATACATAAACTTTTTCACAAGTAGCCAAATTTTCAACACGGGCACACCTCCACGTTCTGCTCTACTGGTGTCCTCGGCTCTTCGGCATGTTTGACTGCGCGAATTCTCTCCGTATCGACGTTGCTCGCCTGTTGGAGGCGGCTCTGAATTGTTCGGATCCGGAGTGGACTCGTCTGTACCACCTGAATTAGTTCAGATTCACGGAATTTCATATGTTCTTATGCCACATCGAATATCTAACAACGAAATCAGTTCAATTTGATGCTTCCATGAAAAAATTTGCATGCGTCTGTGAGCTGACAACTGTCTAACAGTTCGAATAACAACTTGCCCACTATGCTGATTACCTTTACAAGAGTTTTGGGCGCGGCCGCATCCTCGTGAAAAAGAGGAGCGCTTGTTTGTTGCTCATCGTCAACTGGCTGTTTGGTCGTGATCAGTGAATAACGTTGCTTTGGGAACTGTTCGACTCTGAATGTAGTAAGCCACTTTTTATTATTTCAGCCTATATTTGGGATTTCTTACGGTTCTATAGACGTATATCGCGATGGCTCTGCGATGGAGTCGCTCTCCTTCGTCTGCACTTGGTGTGGAGAATCGTCTTGGACAGCCATTTCCATATAATTTGAGGGCGACTTGATAAATCCTTTAGGATATTCCTGCTTTAAAAAAAATTGCTACACATTGGAATTTCTTGACTGCGCACATTTCAATTTATGGAAAAAAGTGAAGAGAAACACAAAAAAGTAAGAAAAGACAAAACGAGTAAGAGTGAGATGAATATCTGCTGATATTGAGATCACGAAGAATAAAAACATTGCATGGAGCAGCTAACAACGTAAATGGTAGCCTTAGCTCTTATCCTATGATTTCAATCTACAAAACAAGGTTATGCTGTGCACATCCAGCCGAAGACGACGTGCTTTCAATGAACGCCGATCCTATTCTAGTCCGTTCATCTCGAACCTCAGGCTATTTAACATCATAACTATCCACAAATTATTGGTGAAATTCTTAATGCGAGCACACCGTAAGAGAGCCTAACAAGTTATAATGCAATATAATAAATCACGAAATGGAGGTAGCGCAATAGTTAGTGATGCCGGCAATCAGAAAGCAAAGGCACTTGTCCGATCTTCAACGCTCTCTTCCAATCCACACAGGGGGCCCTAGCTCGGTTATCCCCATGATTGTACGTGGAATCGACCCGATCAGCGTTCTATGATATCCATAAAAGAGACCAAGTCCTCAACCAGCAGTCGAAACAACACGAAATGTTCGAAGACTTTTTTGGCTGCCAGGAAAACGAATCGTTTGCAAGAAGTGCTGGGATCTGCATGGTAGATATGATAACGAATCATTTGAAAAAAAAAACAATAAAACACAATATAAAACATAATTTAATACTGATAATAGATGGAGAAACGCACTGATGGGCTGGAGATAGTCCGTGCAGTGGTGGTGGAGGTATAAGTAAGAGTACTTGCTTGGAAAATATTGACTGGAGGAGGAAACGTTGGAGCGGTGACGGAAAAATTCGCCTGTATGATTCGCTGAAATTGCGCACTTTGAAATATTAGGTATGATCGAGACTGGAATTCTATAGTGAGAGATAAAAACATAAACGCTCAAGCGCATGGATCAAAGCGGTTCAAGCAAATATTCCACTCCATCACAGAGGTGAATGAATGTGTATCTGGGCTATTTAATGACTTGCGTGAGCTTACAGAGTCACTGTGCAGGCGCAGGAAGGATACGAAGGTAGACTTGCACTGGACGCATGATGAAAACAATGACCACGGGTGTGCTAGTGTGTGCTAACCATTTTCCGACCATGCGCATTGATTTCAGTGTGTATGCTGGTGTATGCCTGGATCATACGCCTCAATTTCAATCCGCATCCCAAGCGCGCACCAATGGTGCGCGGTTACTCGCGCGCGATGTGCGACAGTGACACCCTGTCGTATAAGAGTTAAAGGAAATCTCTAGATATTCTGCTAAAGCTGATGTGTAGTAGGTGGAAATACTATGTGGGCGCTATATTGTCCACAGGTGGCTCTTCGAGAGGCCGGGATGAGCTATGTGAGGGTCATTTTCCTTCTGACTGTACATTTTATTGCCTAGAACCCTTACTCTACACTTCTTGTAATCAATCGGCAGATTATCGAAAGCAGGTTGTGAAAGACGTTAGGGTAGGAAAATGACTGGAAATTTGACTGGGAATTTGATGTTGTCATGTTATCTAAGTTTTGATCGCTGTAATAAATTATAGTTATTGTATGAAATGGAAGGGTATAAAAGATGAAGAAATGGAAAGGCATAAGTTATGAAATACCTCCAAATATTCCCAGCAATGTGCTTGTATGAGTTACCATAAAAGTATGTGGTACGTAATAGCATACACCCTTCATACCTATAGAAGGATAGGGCAAAGCCTCTTCCACAATTCTTTGCCCAACCCAAGTCCTCTACTACTCGAAGAATTATTGTTTATTGTCAAGAATCAGAAAGTTTGTAAAGACTGGAAATTAGGAGCCGTCCCAATCGGCGGACAGCAAAATTAGGCGTCGTCACGAATACGTTAAAGAAAGAATGCCGCATTTGCTTGCTTGAGCTAGAGGAACACAACAGCTGATAGCGGAATCGACAGAAAGGTATCGGAGGGTTTGTGGCTACCTTCTGTTGAACCGGCATCATTTCCTGCAGAAATGATGATCTCTCAATGGGTGGGCGAAGTCCTATCTCAGCACCATTGGAGGCAACTTTTCCAGGAAGAATAAGAAGTTGCTGATAATACCTGCAAAGAAAACACAGAACAATCAAACAAATGTTCCGCATTTATTTTTTCTTCAATACCAATGAAACATTTAGTCCAGGGTTCCAAAACTTTTCATCAACAACTAGTTCTGTCTCATTGGATTTTTGTCATTCTTGTCTCGAAAGTGAGGTGTTATGATGTGACCAGCTTTGTGGTGTTCCGCTGGCCTAGTTCACAAAAACTTTTGGTGAGGAACAATAAAAGATTTTCTACTTTTTGGCTCATGTGGAGTTCCTTCCAGATACATAATCTTTCAGGTAAGCACGTTTTAGTTATGTGAAAATCAACAGAAAAGTTTATGGCGCGTAATAATCCATAACACTGTAATAAATTTCTTGGAGTAACGAATGGGGGAAGTGTGGAGAAAGTCGTCTTATTTCAAAGTGGATTCAAAATCGAGAAGGAATGGAGCACTTACGTCTTTCCATCTGGCTTAATGATCGGTTGATACACATATTGTGGTTGAATATTTGACTGAGAACTACTGAAATAGTGTTTCTGTATAGAAAAGAACATCTATAAGACGAAAGCGAAAGTAGACAAAAAGCTGAAAAAACCAACCCAGTAGCACCTTGCAACACGGGAAGAGCAACAAGGCTAGCGGAATTTGCTAGTGACGACGCCTGAAATATCGCTGAACAAGATTTTAAGTGAACACCATTTCTGAACACTAACTCGTTTGATTATGCTTCACTTGAATTACTTTTATCCTTCTCTACCTAGCAATGAATTACAAAAGGTTATTCGACACATTTTTCGCAGTACGGTTAGATATTTTTTCCTGTTTAAGTTTACAGACAATGTGCGAGCGAGCGACAGAGTGCGACACTGAGCGACACACACGTCAAATCGCTATGATGATCGATAAACGTGAAATACGGTTATGTTGCTGGTCGTTCATTCTATACTAATGTTAGAAGTAGTCGTTCGTACCATTTCTGCCGGCGATTGCATTGACATGACAGGCATCGGTGGTAATTGTTGTTTGACGTTTGAGAGAAGCCTGTAACAACGAATTTTTATGGCATTTATTTTTTATCCTAACGTACTTCCTCAACGTTATTTATATCCAATTGTTATTTGCTTTGAATTTTAACAGAGAAGATATTCTTCCAACCACCAATAACTCCAAAAAACAAAAAAAAAGTAACTCAGTCTCAGCTCCATAACTCCATTTTCCCATCATTCCCGTTGAGTGGTGATTGCTAGTAACGCCGTTCATGTGCAAAAAGTGTCCGAGAGAAAATTAAAAGCAAAGGTCTTGATTGATATGATGGAGAGTAAGTGAGCCTCCGGAAAGAGCAAGCGCGGTTTCGAAGCCCAAATGAGAGTCCCGGTTTTGCTTTGTAGCACAGTAGCTAGTGGTTTAGTATATCCGGAAGCAAGGTGCTCATTCGACGCCTCCCAACCCTTTTCCTCTATCCACATGATAACACCTTAGCAAGGCTATTCCCAAGATTGCAAGGAGAATCAGTTCCACCAGTATTCTACGGCATTCATAAAGAAGATGAAATTCTCAAGCAGCAAATGAAACAACACGCGAAATGTTCGAACGCCTATGTGGACGATGTGTGTGAGGAAAACGAATCGAATGGAAGAAGTGTAAGGCAATCGCACAGTAGATGTGATGGCCATCCATCTCCTTTATGGGCTAACATTAAGCTGTTAAAAGTATTTCTAATGTTCGACCACTAATAGCCAAGTAGATATGAAAATTATAGTACCTTAACAATAACAATAATAAGTAATAATAATGATGATGTCAATCATTAATAAGCCATGCAATGTCTAATAACCATAGAACATCAAAAATGCGTGTTCACGTCCTCATGACAGCTCATGAAGCAGAGCGCAGAAGATCGTATAAATTGGTTAATGGGAAGTAGGCATGCTGACTTACTCAGAAACTTAGTAATTTGTCCCATGGTATTAGTTTCTGGAAGAGGAACAAACAAGTAAAATCTCACTCCGAAATGGAAATCAGTGTGGGATCCTTGTTTTTTGTTTGTTTCTTCTTCTTTCGTGATGCTGCTTCTACCTTCGAGTCATCCTTAATGAATTGTTAAACAAAGTGGTCGCCTTCCTCACAACTACCGTAACTATTAGAACAGAAGGCTAAGTTTTCGAAATCGAAGCAGAACGGCAGCAAGAAAAAGCTAAACTTGGGAAAAATATGATAAACTGTCGGAGCGATGGTGAGTTTGCTCAGTGATTATTTACTGTGTGACATTGTGAGGAGTCGCTTTCAAATCGTAAGTCGACAACAATCTTATTAAACCATCATAGGTTCATAAATTCGTAATGAATAGGTAAAAATACAAGTGGATAGCACCTGCGCGACGGATTGTTCTTCCTCAGAACTTGTCAAGATCTTCCTGAAATGACAGACAACAATATTGGGATTTCCTATTCTCAGAGTAAACTAGCATCATATAATTCTTGCCCTTTTCTAGGTTAATCTACCACTTTTTAAGGCATTTTCTCGTGTGTGTCTGACCCAACTCTTATCATAAATAAATTCATATATGGATAATGTAAAGGATAAAACAGTTCAAAACACACACTAAAACACTTCGATGGGTGAAGCAATGCTTGTTGTACAGAAATGTCTAAAAAGATCCATGTCTTGCACTGTTGGCAAGAACGCTTTGTTCTTCACCGTGGAATCTCGAGAGGACAAATCGCAACTCATTTAAAGACAAATGCAACTCATTCAACGATAAATCGCAACTCATCATCTTCTGACTTCAGTTCTCAAAGTGATGTGAACAAAATTTGTGACCACAGTTTGTAAATTGGTGTCGAGGAATCAAAAAATCGAAGATATTATTCATGAAAATAAATATCTTTCTTAAACACTTCTTTTTCAAAAACGTTAAAGCGGCTCGAATTTTTTTCTATTCGGCATTTCTCAGTCTACCTCTTGTGGTAAGGGTAGAGTAGTGTACATAGCAACGATAACCTGCGGACAATCCACGGTCCCGTAGTTGTCGGATAAGTGGTGTCGAGGTATCCGGCATCGGCAGCCAGCTTGCCCATAATATCTGCCGGCACTTGGAACAACCTGCAATCCTCGACAATAAGTCAATATATAGAAGTGCTAATAACCGCATCGAAGCCATCTAGCGTTGTTCTTAATTACCCACTTGTAGAATTGCTCAGAATTTTTCTCGTTCATAGGATCGGTGCCATTCTGTGGCATAGGTAACTTTGACATTGCTTCAATAGTGCCCTAAAACCGGTTGGAAATAAGTGTAATCCTGAGAAAGCGGGAACTATGGGTGACTGGTAGTAGTCATTGTAAAATCAAGTTACTAAGCCACTTCTAGATTAAAATAAAAGCATTGTTTCAAAACCGACTTTCCTTTAACCTCGGTATGACTAATCAATATGTGTTCTTTCTTTGATGAGCTTAGACGAGATTGATGACATTCTTTATATTCGGCTAGCGTTTCGACAGTAACGTCATCGGCTCTGATGAAGACGAAGACGTCGAAACGTTAGCCGAAAATAATGTTACCAACTTCGTGTAAGCTCATCAAGGAAAGAATGCGCATTTAAAACACTGTCTTCTGGCGAAAATTGCTTTCGAGTCATTGGAAGACCCCAATAACATAAGCAGAATACAGAAAAGATTGAGAAAACGTGGAAACTCACTTTAACTAACTGCTTCACGTCGATGAAATGTTCCTCTTGTGCAGCCCATGCTACCGAGACAATGAGGAGTATGCAACCCCATTCCATCTTAAGTTTATTTTTAAAGAGATACTAGAGAACTGTACTAATAAACAATCCGAGGAAAACGGGTAGAGGAAAGGCCTAATAGGTTGGTAGTAATTGGGTCTTTAACACTCTTCGAACTGAGAACGAGTAAGTGAGCGAAGAAAAGAACAAGACAATGGTGTAAAGTAAATTGTGATGAACAGTGTATATTTGAGACGGACTGTTAGGGGTGCTACAAGATTGTTGTCTAGATACTTCTAGTTACCAAATGATCACTGGAGTAATAGGCGAGTTAAAGGTCTAGAAGAGAACATCATCTACAGTTTCTTTAGCTATCTCTCGAGTTGTAAATGATAGAAAATCTGAAAGTGGCATAATTTCGATAACTAGCACCTTGTTAATAAAGGTGAGAAGTAGGAAAGGGGAAATTACTATAACGCCACAGTCAATTACGTTTTGCGATCTGGGACGCAGCGTAGCAACGAAGGAATCTGCTCATATTCGCTCATTTTGGCCCACATAACCCCTCCCTTCTGTCATCATCATCAACATAATTGATTCGTTCCTTCAAACAACAACACGTTCGTAAGCCCAAAATAATAAAATTCTTCCATGTTGTTATTATCACCGCAAAGAAAGTGTTTTGTGCTTTGTGAAACGCAATAATGGGATAAAGCTGCTTGGAAATTCATTAGACTCTTTACGGATACTATAAAAGGCTAAACGGGTGGTAAGAGCGGTGTGGCTCCGGTCATAGACGCAAGATGATACTCATGATGTGCGTTGTGATACCGCCATAAAACCAGACTGAAATGGGCAGAATCCAGGTAACTGCACGAGATTATCGCTAGAAAAAATAGAAAAAAATCAGAATGACTGATAAGACTGTCACTAGAAACTTGGTGTGAGGCTATTTACGTGACCGACACCAAATTAGCGCTAAAATTCTTGAGGTAACGGTAGAAGAATTGCCGATCGTAGATTTCTGCCGTCTTCTTCGTAGTGACGCTAAAATGAACATTCTAACTATGGTTGTGTTAGTATGGAATTCAATCATGAATAGTTCACATTCAAAGGAGAAAACTAGCTGATCCCACGAAATACCAAAATTTTATGAACCATTACGTGGAGTTTTCCGCTGTGGTAGGTTCTTCAGTTCCAGTTATTCGCTCTCTCTATCAGTTTTATTAAGATAGATGCTTATTTGCTCTTTCCTCAAAGAATAGTTGACCAAAGTGTTAAGTATAAAGATAGGGTAACACAGAAAAGTAAACTTTAGCTGTCTGCACTCCTATTTTTCTCTTTTAAAGCAAAGGATATCACAAACATTTGTATTTGTCATTTGTATAACCGATAGACCATAACATTTCAACGGATGGACAATGCGGTGTAATTGAAAAAGTTGTACTTGAAGATATCATGACAGATTATCAAAGCAACGGAATAGAGATGTTGAACGGGTTAGTTGGATAGACGCTAAGAGAGATAATGAACAATGGGTGGGGGTTAAGATAAGGCAAGCCCACCGAACGGGTTTCCACCTTCTCTCATCCGTACAAACATGCTTCGATCCATTCACAACGCTCGAAGCCGAGCGACCTCGTTGTCGAAGCTGGCCAGCCCTGGTTCTTCGCTCAAGTTGGTTTAGATAAAAGGAGCGAAGTCCCTGCTGGTAGACGTTTCACATATCAGATATCATTCTCATAATTTCTAGAATTTCTGTCATTCTATTTCAACACGTTTACAATTTAAAGCATGTACAATGTAGTTCGAGGAAAAACAGGTGCCGCAAACCAAAAAAATTTTGTCGGAAGTTCATAGGAATAACACTAACACCAATGGAGTACAAACATCATTTAGAACTGTAGTTAGCGTAGTGGTTACAGATGCCCTGGAATAATATACACTACAGACAGCTCCTATAAGAGCGCGTGTGGCCCAGTGGTAGGACCCCTGTAACACACACGTGGAAGCGATCTCCGCGCCCATGGCGCACCAAGCCTTTCATCCCTTCGAGGTCGACGAATTGGTACCAGACTTATCTAGGAGGTTAGCACCAGGATAGATCTATAGGCCACCGCAAGTCATTGTAAAGGTCAGATATGCATTCAACCACCTCCAAACGATGCTAATAAAGTCGAATGCTTGGCGCATCTCTCTGAGATTGATAATCGCCGAGAGCTTTATCCTTAATCCTTTACACACAGTTGGATAGCTACGCTCCGATCTGGGCCTTCCATCCTCCTACCCACCATCTCTTCAGCGTCGCAAAATTGGAACCAGACTTGTACGGGGAAGGCTCTTTGCTATCAGCAATGCGATAGCCTCTGTGGTGAGGACCTGGAAACGTTCCAGTAGTGCAGTCCGATAACTGTAGGTGGAATGAACTCGACCAGCGCTCAACGCGATTCATGCAGAAGTCCGCGAAATCCTCAAATGACAGTCGAACTCGAAGGCCATCGAGGATAGCGGGTGCAAGCCCGCAAAATGAATGATGGGATCTGCACAATAGGTGAAATTGAGTGAGTAAACAAACAAATGGGTAACCAAGTAAAAATTTAAGAAATAAGTGGATTACTACAAAGCCGTTTCAAAATTATCAGCAAATAAAGCTGTCGGTGTTGAGCACTCCCTGAGGGATGCGCCGTTCATTCGAGTTCAATAAGCATCGTTGGGGGGTGAATGAATGCATATCTGGCCCTTACATTGACTCACGGTAGCCTACCAATTCTGGTACCAATTTTCCGACCTCGGAGGGATGGAGGGCTTGGTGGGTCTGGGGCGCGTGGATTGATCCCATGTGTGTCGTCGGGCGCGTCAGATCACTGTGCCACACACGCCCTTAAACGCGAGATGATCAGCGAAACCATTAAAAAACCTTAGTATCAACCATTTGCTTTGAAAGCCTTAAGATATTCGTTACCTTTCTTCTGACCAAGCACAACCTTCTTCCAGACTGTTGCGAATGCACCGTCGAGCCTATTTTTGCGAACTTCATAAAATACGCGCATTTGCTACACTTGCAAATATTGATGTTTGCAAGAAAACGGATTAAAGCTACGGACTTGCGAAGCAAATGAAAGCGAAAAGTGCGTCGGTGCGCGGTGCGACTAGTGAAAAAGAAGAAGAACAGGGCGAACCGAAGAGAAAAGGAAATAGAGAGAAAGATCCGCTCCCGAACTCATTGGTGACGACCGCCAATGAAAGCGAGAAGTTGCAGACCACACATGAGATCTGGCATGTTCAGCGACTCACGCCGATCGTCGGCAATTCGACTGCTATTCATGTGCCAGCTCCTCATCCTCATTTGAACTTGGTGTGAAAACTTCAAATGAATGGAACCTGTCCATGTGCTGTCTACCAATGTACCTCACCTATTCTTAGCGTCTTCTCGGTTTCGGACTTTCATAGTCCCCAGCATGCAAATAGAGAAACGAAAACTTCATTGGATCTGCAGGATATGAAAGAGAAAGAACCCGACTACGCCTCACTTCCACTCCTTCTTCAGACTCATTGAACTCAGACGGCTCTTTGCGAATTTATCAGTTTCGCACCATCTATTTAAAAACTGCACCGATTTTCGACTTAACGAGATCAACAATCGGCATGAAATTTTCTCAAGATCTCGTTTTAGATGAAAGAAAACGATTTCGTCAGTGGAGTGTCCAACTTTCGATAGGAAATTAGTTTGTTTATTCTCCAACGCAGACAATCATAAAGTAAATTTCATGTTCACGAGTGGCAGAAAATCATGTAAAACTGCTCCGAAATGGAGATCTGCCTAATTATTCTTTTATTAAGGACGAGTGTGGCGTAGTGGCCAGAGGTGCCTTGCAACACACATAGGATCGGGATCCGCGCCCATGGCTCAGAAAATCTTCCATCCTTCTGGGGTCGGCAAATTGGTAGCAGACATATCTGGGAGCATAGCAGCAGTGGCCAGATACGTCGGTAGGCCACTCCGAGTCATTGTAAAGGCCAGATAGCATTCGGAAACCGCTCCAATCTCCAAACGATGCTTAAAGAAGTCGAACGCATGGCGCATCTCTCAGAGATTGATCAGTTCTGAGACCTTTATCCTTTTTTACTCATCCTTTTATTGATGACGTATCAATATTTAACTACTGCCTGAATAAAGATCACGCAAATTCAATCAACGAATCTCTTTATTGATGTTGAAACACATCGTTTTTGATGTTTTTTCGGAAAGAAAAACATAGTAGAAAAACGTTGAAATAGATCGTCTATGAAAGATGAAAGTGGACGAGCTAGGTGAATAGGCCGGGGTCAAGCCGGGAAACACGTTTGCGTTTGCGCCACATGACAGTGCGCTAAACGTTGACAGATGAACCATAAATTCATCAGTTATCAGTAAATCAACTGGCTAAATTTTTGAGGAGATTGAAGCTTAGTAATAATAAATTTATTACTCAGTCCTTACTAATTACTTGATACTTGAACGGCCCGTCCTCACTGGTTGTGCGGGCCCCAGCACAATCACCATTTTTTGGAAATTTGCCGGTTAAGCCATTGTGGTCTCCTAAAATCCCGAGGTGAGTCTGGCCTAACTCTGCTCCAGGTCTTTACCACCACAGGCAGCCGCAGCCCTTGTGTATCAGAGGAAGATTTGCCACCATGCGACTTTGTTACCAGGACGGTGGTGGATCCTTACTAACTCAGAAGAAGAAAAGAAATAATAGCCGGAGAAAAACGTATACATGAATGAATAAGTAGGCAATAAAGTAAAAGTGTAAAGTAAGAGTGAAACGCATGAAGCATGAGTGTCATGACTGCTTTCCTACTTCTTGTCCTTCTTCCCACTGAACTCTAAGCCGACAACACATGGAATGCAGGACAAAAGTTCGTGGTATGTACTGAGACCGCTGGAAGCGGAATCCGTGCTGAGATCGGCTACCTGATACGATTTCCCAATACACATAATGATCCGTGGAGTTTCTTTTCCGTCGGAAATGCGGGCGATGCAGATCCCGATGCAAGCGGAACAATTGTTTTTAGTGAGCAGCATCGTTCATTATTGTCATATCCGCTTCCAAAAAGCTCAACGACGTTTGTTCCTATGACGCCTAAGTCCGTTGAACGAGGCTCAAAAGTACGAAAACTTCGGGAAAACTATGTAATCAGAGCTTCCTACTAACAAAAACATCATCCTATTGAGTAGAATTTGAGGAGCGATGAAGAACCGCAATAGATGATGAGATCCCAACAAAAAAATCTGTTACTTCTTCTTTCAAAACAGATAATGAAAAAAATTGATTGAATGAAACCAAAAGAACCGCTCTCAAGAAGGTACTCAACATTAAATTAAATACATGGGGTAGAAAAGCACGTTGACTTTCAGACTGCGCTTTCATCCCTGTTACTTAGTTCATTTTCGTCATTTGGCTTCCTCATATTCTTACTGTGCATTATTCCTCTTTGATTGTTGTGAGTCGAATAATCATGCTTATTTCGACCAAGAACGAGCTAAATTTTGATCCTACTTGGAACGCTTACTTAAATAGGCAGTAATTCATTTCATTTGCACAGTGATACCCATCATCACAAGCATGGTGGTAGCCCGATTCCGCTTCAGGCCAACCAAGCCTCTCACCCCTCCGGGGTCGGAAAATTGGTACCGGAGTTGTCTAGGAAAAAATCATTCTATGCATTCCAACTGGGAACGCTCCAGCCCAGCTATCTCATGACTTCAAAGAGAATTGCGCTGCCAGCGTTCTACGACATTCAAGATAAAATAAAAATCCTCAAGCCTCAACCCAAGCCATACTTAAAAGTTGGAAGATCTTTGTGGACAGTGAACGCGAGAAAACGAATTGAATGTGAGAAGTGCTGGGATCCGCACAGTAGACGTGAAAATGGATCAAATAGAAAACAATAAAAAATATATATCCCTTGAAGGAACAATGGATACGGCGAATACAGAGAATAATGGGATTCTTAGATACATTCATGGCTACTGAGAGTGAAGAAAACCGAAAACAACGAATAACCGAATATTCGAGAAAATTTTGGGTTGTAGTTCAGGCGATGCGCTAGCGAACGCAGAGAGGATGCCGATCCGTCCACTTAACAATAGACATTGATTTTCTCGGATTTCCCGTCGAGAATTTCCACCCAATTTCCCTCTCCGGTTCATCACTTCGCCACGCCTATGAGATGTCCCAGAGTATCTTATTACCACGTAGACCTGGAGGTTCACCTCAAAGCTGTATGACACGGAAACGACGGCCTAAACGAGAGTCAGTTTTCAAATACGACGTTACCCAGTTCAAAATTTCTAACAAGCTCATGTGACTTGCTTTTTCCTGGCAGATAGTCCTTTCGCGAGTTGCGCATAGCGCACTCGTTAGAGATTAGAGACTTACCTGGAAGGATGCATCATTTATTTGGCACATGCGTAGGTATAGGGAAGTTTTTATCTTTCCTAATTTAATTTCCCTACGTGAAGAAAACAGTGTGAGCCAGATATCTCACTGGATAAAAACGAAATTACCCACTGTTTTCTTGATAAGCAAACAAGAGGTTGTTAATATCAAGGATTTCCCAACATAGTGCTGGCTGACGTTTCCGCGACATCACCTTCTTCAGAGATTGGAAGAGCAAATTATCACGCATTCCACTCGGTCGAACACTGTCATAACCTCAGGGACAGAACTCGATACATAAATGATTACTCGTATTGTGAACCGCTTCTCTTAAGCACTCACCTTTCTGTTGTTTTTAAGTCTTCCAGTTATTATTGGAGACCAGCCTCACAGAGCCCTGCATGGTTGAGGAATGTGCCTTGCTCAGATCAAGGAATCTTTCTGAGACATGGTGTGAGATCGCATATGATCACAAGGAACTTCTCCTTCATGTTCATTTTTGTATTTTTGAAACATTTTTAAAACGACTACAATGATGCTGAGAAATTTGCAAAACTCCGGACCGCAGGTGTCTGCGGTGGGGAACGAACGCGCTATTGCCCTTTCCGGGGAGTAACGCGCCCACTAACTCACCATACGGGTCCTTCGTTTCGCTTGTCTCTCAGCTAGTTCTATCAATCAATGCCATCAGCAGTCCGGAGTTTTACAAATATCTCAGCAACATTGTAATTCTTTCACAAATAACCTGCCGTGAAAACGAATAAAAGGCAGTGAATAAGAAAGTCAACATTGTTTCTAAAACACTTCAACACTTTTACGCAATGACTTTTAGATTTTCGAGCATGGATTATCACTTCTATTTCAATCTTTTGTCCTTTACGTTTGTGGTTCCTATGCGAGCCCAGTGGAATGCTTTCTTTGACTTCACGCTTGCCATCCAGATGCTCTTCTGCACGGACGCGAAGTGCAGTTCATTTCGCCAACGTACTCCTCTTCACATGCTTCACTAGAAATCAGGTACACTGTACCCAAACTCATGCAGTCACCGCCTCTTCTGTTAGGGCAACTGCGTTTTTCGCATAGATGGTTATACAAGCGGTTACGAATTAGCTGGAGTCTGACGTCTTGGAGCATTCAGTGTTACTTTAGTCACTGCTACTGACTTATGTAAACTGGTTTTTTTTAAGTAACGTTCTATAGTTGTGCTTATTTCGTTTGAAACAAAAGGTAAGATGAACGGGACCCTATTTTCACTAGACCTATCGCTTTGAAGCGTCTTTTTTCCTGTAGACCTATTTCTATTAGCTACCGCTTCGTAGCCATTGGAAATGGCTATTTTTCGAGCCATGTCCAAAGATTCCTCTTTTTGCACTCTTTATGTACACACACTGCTGCTGTACGAAAAACTTTTCTCGTAAGTACCTTTCTATAGTCTGAAGGATGAAAGGAGAGGTGATGAACCAGGTTGTTTTTGTTACTTGGCCTTAGCTACCATTTTGTATTGTACTCGTTTTTGGAAAAGTTGATTTGAACGCTCATAATTAGAAGCCAATTTATTTTCGGTTTCCCACGGCTGAAATTCACGTGCTCGAAGTGTTAGCTAAGCAATTGAAAACATTTGCCCTTCTGTTCTCTTCAGCAGATGACAAAGCAATTGACGATATACCTACGGTAGAGTAGTACACAGTGTACGAGGGCGTCAACTTTAGAGATGAACACAATGTCAAATCTTGGTGCCAGTCGCTGTCCCATTGCCAGCCCTCTCATTTGTACGCAATTTCCCAAACCACGTGAAGATTGAACAGTTTAGACACTCCTTTAAGAGTGCCACCAACTGCTGAATCGTGAAGCCGTATGAGTTTATTGCTCTTTCGTGTTGCATAAGGAGTTCGAGAATGGCTTGTTTGGCGGAGTCATTCGACGCGTTTTTATAAAGGGC